TTGCGAGAGACATGACTCTTTCAGACCACTCCTCCAAGGACTCCTTTTCTCCTTGGGCACTTGTCTGGAATTGAACCTGTGAGGTTTCTGGCAGTTCTTCAAAAAAGCAAATCTATTATTCATATTGGATATGATATCAGTGAACGCTGTTTTGTTATTCTCCAGGAGTAAGGTGCAGTATTCACTGGCTGCATCTTCTAAACACCAGCAAAGCTGTTCCCTCTTTTGTTCGTCTATCCACTTGGCAATTCTAGCATAGCCAGAAAACTTGGTATAAAAGGATTTCCAGTTGCCCTTCCAACTATAACGGAGCGTTCTTGGCATCGAGAACAGAAATTGCCTTTTTCAATTTTCTCTTTCTATTTCCGACTCTTTGAATGTCGACTGTCTGTCTCAGATTCTGATTGAGACTCTCTAGCAGTAACACTTCTCCTAGGACTATGTCTACTATGTGCTGGAGAGTTCCTTACACTCCTAACTGGCGAGAAGTCTTGGCGTGAATGATCACGAGTTCTATAGTAAGCAGGTTCTGTCCTTCGCTTATTTCTGGTCTGGCGGTATGATGAAGCATCTGACGTGTCAGAATCACCTGTAAAATTATGACCTGAATCACTTCTGCGTTGTCTCTCATAATAATCACTATTATAAGGAAATTCCTTCGGTCTTGCTGAAGATTGGTTGTAATGTGTCTGTGGTGCTCCTGATGGTGGAGGTTGCTGCTGTGTGTCAGATAAAGATACCTGTTGATATGGCACATGTAATGGTTGTAACTGTGGCTGATAGCTACTCATACCTGATGGTCCTGAAAGGTTAGGCTGACCCAAGCTTGGGTACGTTAAACCAGATATGTATTGTTGGTTGTAAGGCTGTAAATTTGTTGGTGCCTGTGGCGGTGGTCCACCTCTAGGAGGCTGGAACATTGATGTTGGGTGACCAATCATCTTAGGTACAAAACTGGGTGGTTGAAACCCTGGTTGTTGATAAACTGGTTGTTGATGAACAACTGCACTAACCTACTTACCTGTTGTTGGTATGTCTGCTGTTGAGGTAAAGAAACTGGCGCTGTAGCTGGATGTTGTTGCTGCCGGTCGAACCTTTGTTGTAGGCCTTGTACATGTTGTTTCATTTGTACACTTTGTTGAGCTGGCAACAAAGGTTGTTGAACCTTGTTGACGCCTGGTTGTTGGTTGGTGGAACCACTATGATGCTGTTGAAGGAAGGATAGCTGATGGTGACTCAGTACATTAGTCTGAGTTTGTACGGTTGGTTGTTGACTCTTGTTGACTTCAGTCGTTGTGGGCTGTTGTAGCCATGTTGATACTGGTTGACATCTTGATGTTGACTATGCTGAAAAATTGGTTTCTGAAGCTGTGCAAAATTTGACGGTGTTGATGGTTTACCCTCAAAACTAAATAACTGGTGAAGAGGACTGTTGACCTCTTGTTGACGGTGATGCTCCTCCTGTTGTACATTTGGTAAAAAATGAACATGGTCAGATGCCGGTGTATGTAAGAACCTTGGTTGTTGGTTATAATTTATAATTGGTGCTGGGCTGTCATTGCTCGGCGGAGCCTGTTGCAACTCTTGTTGACGGTTGCAATCATCCTGTTGATCAACTTCAGAGTGTGGAATATGCAAGTGCTGGCTAAGTGGTGAAAACATTCTGTCATTTTGTTGTTTTTGAACATCAAACTCCTGTTGACTGTCTTGTTGGTCTAGTTGAGGGCGAACAAACATGTTGGTACTTGGTGATGAAGTACGATACTCATTGTCGTCTCAAACACTCAGGTTGTAGAGCTCCGTGTTTAAACTCTCTGTAGAGAGGCTCTCTTGTAGTGGTTCACAAAGTGACTGCTCTAACATATTTGAATGTCTTGGTGGTTGTTCCAGACGACGTTGCTCCCATTCAAGACTGTAGCAGACTCCTTCCTCTGAGCAAGATGATGCTACCTCATCTTGTAGATCGCATTCTTCTAACTAGTGTCTTATGTTAGAGTTGAATTCTTGCAGATTTGCAATCTGTTTCTGATCTTCTGTCCGTCTATCTCTTTGGACAGGGTGATAAGGTGGTGACTCATACTCTGGGATGCATGAAATATCTGTATCCTTCAAACTCGCACCGTAACACTCCTCTGGGTCCATATTTATAATCACATGATCAGGTTTTGGAGTCGAAATACTCACAGAACCTGCTTTGCCACAGCTGGCTTCACTGACCTCAGCTCGTGGTCTCTGTGTAAAGTCAATTATATACCCAGGATGCCTTCTGTCACGTTCAGGTGTGGCATTTGGAATAAAACATCCCGATCAATGTGGATACCTTTTCCCCTCATATCCATGATCCTTGCTTCTATGGCTTCCCCTATGCCAGGTAAGCAGGTAAGTATGACCTTAGGACAGGTGTTAATCTTGGTCATATACCCCTGACCACTCTGCATAGTGATTTTGTATTTTTAATTTATTAAATATATTTGACTTTATTTCACAATAATTTACAATGCAATATATATACTATTCAATGTTATGAAATCAACAATAAATCTTTATTTAATAAATAGTAAAGTCAATAATAATATATACGTAACAACTCGCGTGTTTGTTTACATCCGTAAATCCAGAATACAAGATGGCGTCCAAATCTCGCGGCAAAAACCACGCGTGACCTCGCTATCAATATAGCAATCTTTCAAAAAGTTTTTCCTAGCCTAAAAAGTATTCAAATATCGATAATCCGTGACAAACCCCAATCCCTCACTTATATTCTAAAGATTTCTTTTCATCTTTTTCGCTGTGAAGATAACAATTAGGTTATGTCACGACATTCTTTTTTCATGTAATTTACACTATGAATCTCACGTGCTTAATAAGTGCCATGTATTTTCGTAAAATGCAGATTGGATCAGAATACGGGTTATCTGTTTGTATTGCTGATGTCAACAATAACGGAAATAACGACCTATTGGTTGGAGCCCAACTATAGAAGGTTGTATCCTATGACGAAGAAACAGTGTTTGTGTATTATGGGACTAGTGATGTATGTGTTATCAATAATACACAAATAAATGGGAAGAAAACTTCGCAATTTTAATACGTCCGAAGCGTTTTTCTGGATTTACCTTCACCAGGAACTCCTTAACCTAAATATTTGAAAATCATGGATTTATTCGTAGAATCTTTCAAAGCTATGTAATCCAAAGAGACATAAACAGAATAGCCAAACTAATTGTAGGTCAACTTTGCCTGAGCGAATTTGAACCTTAATTTCCTAATAATTTCTTAATTTTTGGTAGGATCGTGTTGCCCAGCCTTTAGTTTTCTATGTTGTGTTTTGTGTTCTGTTGTTTGTCTGTTGGTTTATTTCTTTTTAAGCCATGACGTTGTCAGTTGATTTTCGACTTATGAGTTTGAATCCCCTTGATCTCTTTCGTCTCTCTTTTACGCGTGTAAATGTCGATATTGCTTTAAATATGGAACAAAATAGAAAATCTTGTCGAAATAAAACAATGAATTTTGGACCAAGAATTGAACATTAACTAAGTGTCAGTGCATTATTTATGTGGAATCAAAATTGCATATCTATAAAACAAAACGTTTTCATTTTTTTTATCTAGAATATATTTTATTGCACTATGTATACACTCAGAACACACTTTTCTCGATGTTTCCATAGATCCTGAATTTGCTTATAGTTATTTTTAAACAGTGACGTTTACCCATTTTGATAGCAAGATAAATATAACCAATGTTATCAAAACGTTAAACTTTACTATGTTTCCGACATGCAGCCAGTATCATAGTGAACGGCAAACAATGATTTTGTATTAATATGATTAAAATATAACAATCATTCCTAATCAATCGTTTTTGTTAACTATGCTTATAAGTTTAGTTTGCTTTTAGTTTAGTTTTTTCTTCATTTGTGACTCGCATCACCGAATGATACTTGACACAGAATGTGTACTTACTATTAGCAACACGACGGGCACCACACGATCTGCTTGCTTTCTCGTATCATCTTAGATCACCCTCATTTTCGTATTGTTCCGTCTTTAGTTTTTTATGCAGAGTTTTGTAGCCCGTTGTGTGACTTTTTGTCGTTTTCGTGTCTCGCAATGATTTTGTCGGTCTCTCTTCGACTTGTGATCTTCCGTCTCTTTTTTCAACTCGCTTTAAATGGGTATTAATTGGGTTTTATCTTGCTTTTGGTTTCTGCTACACATATAACATTTTATAAATCTACATTTAAAACTCTTGGCCAGTGATTTCTTTGAAACATATTTTGCATAACTTAGACGACATGCGTTTTGTTGCCTTGTTTAATGTGCACTTCTATCTCGTTTAATTGCGCGATTTTGTATTATATATTTTGTGTTATTTTTTTCTAATCAGCTTGTTTTCTATATAATTACAAAATGTAATATAAAAATTGCGTTCTCCTACTCTGGTCAATACATACGAACAAAAATAGTTACTAAGGATTATTTTTTTTGCGATTAACGTAACACAATAAACGGTGCATGGGATGAATTTATCCTACTGATCTGCCAAGCATATTATTGCTTAATAACTTGATTTTATTTGTATAAGTGTGTTCTTTAATATTGTGAGAAGTAAAAATATGATTTTTTCGAGTCAAATAATTCCTGAAATTATTGAGAGGTTATGCATTTTCATTTGCATTTTTGAAGGGCACTTTTCCCTATGCAACAATTAATGTTATTAACAAGCAAAGGAAGAAATAAAATTTGGATTAATCGTTACAAATCATATTAACTAAATTTATATATATAGCGTACACAAGTTAAAGGTTGTTATTACAGAATATAAAATACTTCCGCATTGGGATAATGTCAAAATTAATGAAACAGACAAAAATCGTAATCTTTACAAATTATATCAATCTTAAATATTTGCACATTGTATGTTGTTAAAATTAATGAAACAGACAAAAAATATAAATCTAGACTTCCTACGGTAAGGATAGATTACTCGATGAAGATGATGGATTGGTGTTATAGTCCAGTGGCAATTATTACAGGAATATCAGAACAAGATACAAATATACACCCTGCTCTTATTTGTCCGACACACTGAGATTTTTAACGTAATAGTTCAGATATTTACATATAGGCTTATACCTATTTTTAAGATTTTACTTGTTTGTCATGCCTTCAGTTTCTTCAAACGTATTTTGTGTGAATTTATATTCTTTTTAAAAGGGATCGAATCAATCCTTGTTATGGGTACAACGTAGACATCATACATAATTACTTATATCAAACGGACGATACAGTTAATTAAATGTTCATGGAAATTTGTTTAGAATTGCACATGTCTGTATAAGCTGCTATCAAGTCAGATATACGGAGTTGGTTTCAAACGTGAAAAGCAAATCGTATTTGCAGGAGCAACTATTGTACATGTTTTACACTGAATTAAGTCTGAATTCCTTATTTCAGTGATGAAGTAAAATATTCTAAAGGAACCTTTTAATGTCAATGTATTAAAGAACAAAAAAAAATATCATACAAGTACAGCTTCATATAGGCGTTTCCAAAATAAATGTTCAAAATTGTCATTAAGGAGCTCACTATCATATGCCTCTAGGCATGTAACCTTGTTCCAAATTCTCAACAGAGACTTAGGCATACTTTTAGCTGGAATATTTTGTACTAAAACCACAATCAACATATCTCGACTTTCTTGAAACATTTGCATTCGAGCCATATCAAGTTCGAATTCACACCAAGAACTTTCCAGAAATGTTTCACTTACCACTAAAATGATTTTTCTACTTTGAGAGACAGCTTCAACAATATTATCCGCTATTAGATTGCCAGGTAAAAAATCACGATGATGAAGACACAAAGATTGTTCCTTTTCTTTTTCGAGAAATGAACTTAGGGGACCACACACCCATTTGTAGTCTGCATGATGATAGGCCACAAACGCGCTATATCTATACTCCTTCGACTCACCATCCAATTTAGAATAATGGCGGTATTTCCGGCGAATAGTTAGGTACCAATATTGAAGAGTTACCCTGTATTTATATACTACACCACTGGCTATAATTATCATTATCAATAAAACCGAGAATACCACAGAGAAAATCAGCCACACTTTAGAAACACACTTTGTTTTTAAGGCATGTAAATTGTGAAATGCAAATGCGGTTCTTTTATAGCTTCCGTCAAAATACCTGCAGGAGTAGTTTCCCCCATTGTCTAACATAACATTTGTAAGATAAAGCCATTCTATGAAATGCAAAGAATCACAGCTGCATTCAAATAAATTGCCTTGTAATAGCAGTTCAAGTTCATCCGTTGATCTGATGTTCAACTCATCTAATTCTTGTGTAGTTCTTCTCTCCAAGTATCTAATTCGATTACCTGATAAATCAATGTAATTCAATTTTGAAAATTTTGTAAAATTCAAATTGATCTCTGTTAGAATATTATTTGACAAAATTAACTTCAATAATGATTTGTACTGAGATCTGAACATTAAAGGATTTAGATATTTAAATTGGTTTGCTGAAAAGTCAATTTGTTGAAGTTCGGACAGTCCTTTCAGAATTTTTCCATCCTTGTCCTCTAGTAAACCACGACCTAAATTTGCGCTTCGACTTTCTAGTATTTTAAGTTTTTTAAATGACTGAAAAAATGATAAATCAATTAAAGAACAATTGAATCCAGATATTTTTAATATCTCAAGATTGTCAATTCCATGTACAAGTCCAGTGCAACTGTTGAATGGAGTCCAATTAAAATCTAATACTCTTAATTTACGTCCACGTGTAAAGTTAATATTTGCAAGATGTGAGGACCGAAGAACTAAACGTTCGGCATAAATTTCCTCTAAATTAGGCGGTAAGGGAAAAGTGAAAATAATATTTATCCTTTCAAAGACTTTTGACATATTGTTTGCTGGGAACATCCAGCACTTGGTTTTACTACTGAGCAATCCGACATTTCGAGGACTAAGTGGGTCCTGTTGTGATACATCTATTGTTTTCAAACCTGTCAGCTGGAAAAATTCAAGCCCTATACCTATATCGCCATATATATTATTCTTTGCAAGATCTAAATGTTCTAGACAGTTCTTGTATTTTATGACAGAAAACGAACCAGATCTGATAATACTTATTTGATTTTTTGCTAGTATTAAACTTTTTACACAAATTTGACCTAGAATTGTGAAATGTTTAGGTGTTAAGATGTCAGATCCAGTACGAGCTCTATAATTGTAGGACAAATCAATTTCGCTCATATTCCTGTCTTTGAACGGTATAAGAATGGGTATCAAATTCGATAACCGTATGAATGAATTATGAGATATTTTCAATACATTGAGTGATTTGAATGGAGCAAGTGTTCCATATTCAACTTTCCTAATTGCACAAGATATATCAATGTCTTCGATAGGTAAATTGTCAAACACTAAGAATGTTTCATTTGTTAGATGTGTTATGATACATGGATCAAAACGCAACATCCTAAGGTGTTTCAAATACTTAAAACCTTCACCAAACCGTCCATTTCGAATTCCATTGATACTTAGACTCCGTAGGTTAGAGAGAACACTTAAGGATTTATCGGGATAATCTCCAGAGTTAAAGAATGTATTATCTGATAACTGCAAATAAAGTAAATTAGGAGTACTGTTGAACACGCCTATAGGTAACGATCCAACATCCAAAAAGTTCGAACTGAGATCAAGAGTTTGAAGGTTCTCAGGGCCTTTCAACGCATTTACATCAATGTATGTTAATCTTGATGAGTGTATGATTAATGTTCGAAGTTTAGTTAACCGCATGAATGTTTCATTATGTAGCAAAGCAATATAGTTGCTCGATAAATCTAATATTGTTGAGTTGGTTGGTATATGTCGTGGAACCGTGTGGAAATCCATGTTTGAACAGTCACATTCGACTTCGTTTTCGGAATATTTCACAATGCAATGTTTGGTATAACAGCATGTTAAACAAGCATTCCATATATACAGTACATACAAGCACTTCAATGAATTATCAATATTCATTTTCACGTCTTACAAATGAATTACAATTTATTTAAAATTATTTCAGTATTGATGCTTATATCTCAACAAGTACTTATTTAATGATAAAGAGACTAACGTTGGATATGAAATTAGATATTCCCGTGTCTCTAAAGAAAGAATATTATATCACAAGTCGAATTTAAAAGTTCATGACCTTATTTAAACATTTATACACTTGTTTACCTTTGCTGTGCGGAAACAAGCAAACGAGATAAAGTGTTGGTAATCAAGCCACTTATGTACATATTTTAATCTTATTTAAATCACAACGTGAGATGAATGTGATCAAAACAAGGAATGGCAGATTGAATAAAACACTTAATCATTTATTTATATGACGATGAAAACAAGTGAGAAGCAAAAACAATATGATTTGATATCAATAAAAAGAGATATGAGGTATACCTAACTTGTTTGTTAGCACTAATTCGACCCCAATCTTAAAATATCAAAATGTAAAATTTTTAACAGAGGAACATGTGATGAAAAACAATTTAGAATTCTAATTGAATTTAGAAAGCTGCAGTACCTACTAAATATATTTACTCAGGTGGCGAATCCAAGATAAATCAGATTATGGGAATCTTTGTTATAAGAAAATAAAAGCAACCAAAGTTAAAAATAACCATGCTTACATCTGAATATGGAAAACTAAGGGGGGCATTAAGCAGTTGTTAATTTTTTTCTCAGATACGGGGGGAGGGGGAGGGGATCTTAATCTACAAATATTGGAACCGACGTCAGGCTGGGGTTTGAAAAACACCCGTATTCATATATATATATATTGAATTATGCGAAAATCCCTACCCTTCCATAAAGTTCATAAGAAAATCACAACCCATTTATATATATTTCCCAGCTATCATGACATCTTATTTCAATGAGATGTCAACCACATGGGATCCGTGAATCATATGATGAGATAAAATGATCAGATCACAGATTTAACAGACATCTTAACAGTAGATGAACATGTATGACCAATTGACATATACATTTCTACTAATTGACAAAAGGAGTGGCCCATACCAGGGGCATGTCTGTATAAACCTTTTTATATAGGAAGAGACCCCACCTCCTCGTGCCTAAAGAAGAAATCAGTATATTGTCATCTAAAGACGTACATCCCGCAATTCCTTATATCGCAATGTTCTAAAACATCCCACTTATAAGATTACGCATTTTTCAAATATTTTCCGACATCCTGTTTTGATGGGTTTTCCCCCGTTTAGATAGTTAATGTTAATATTTATATGTAAGTCTTTTATTACACCTTCGGCTTTATTTAGAAGAAATTAAAAAGCGTGTTCGCATTCTTTATCTTTCGCAGAAGTACGAAATGATTTGTGAAAGATAGTCAAAAGTAAGAAAGAGTCGTCTACATTCTCAAACAAAGGGATGATGCATCTCATTAAAACATGTTTTCAAAACTCTGAACGGTCATCCGACTTTTCGTTAGAAAAAAAAAACCAAATCAACAATTCGCTGCTTGCTTTTTATCAAATTCTAGATATTTCACGTTCGTAATACTTATGAAAGTTTTTTAAACAATATTAATTGATTGAAAAAAATCCAATATTTCTTACTTGAAAATCACTACCTCAGCTTAAATCTATTAAAACGTAATATATCTATTGTTGTCATGTCGCTTGATTTTTTTTAAATCTCTTTTATAATGTACTACTTGCTTTCGCTTGTTAGATATTTTCAAAATATCAATATGGGAATAAAAAAAATAGTTGATACAATGTCTGTATCAATATCAAGAAAGGATTTAAAACTTTTAAACTGCGAGGCTAATACAGGCATTCCCAAACTGATGAAATGTGTCATGTTTTGTCCTTTAGTCCGAATAATTATAACGCTTTGAAAGACTATCTAAATTTTGATTTGACGCTTCCCTGTGACAATAAGGTCCACAAAAAATAGAAAAAAACATCCTCCTAGTTAACTGAACTAAACCTCCCGTTGGTGTATCAAGAAAAGTATTTTGAGCCCAAATGTACTACTCCATGATTTAAATTCTAATTTTAAGGCAGGTGTCCTACATAATGTGCATATTTAAGGTTTTTCAGAAAATCAGAGTGCTATAAATTTTAAGTAGAAGGTGACTTCCAAAACGTCTTGCTTCACTACAAGAGTTTTAATAAGATGGCCCTGGTGAAGTTAAAATTATGATAAAATATTTAAAGAACTGTGAAAATAGAAAAAAAAATGATTGAGTATATAGGTGTTTTGAATTTGTGTTTTGACACCTAGCATACTAGTAGTTAATTAAGATACCATTTAAGTGGTGACATGATGTGTGAATGATCATAAAGTGTTGGAATGATGTGTATGATTGTTCATGATCTACATTAAAAGCAGGAAACTGTACGTTTTCTTCTAACAAATTGAATTAGGGTGACCGAAAATTTACACATTTGTCCTATATCAAAGCTTATCTAATTTTTACTAACACATCACACATAGGCAAATTTATAACATAAATGTAAAATTTAAAACAATGCAAACATAGTTGATTGTTTTTATAGTGATCAAGATTATAACACAATGTTGACTGCTGTTCTCCAATTTTTGACATTTTTACCTGTTATGTGTGTTTGTTTTGTTCACACATTGTTGTCAATATAATGGAATTTTTTGCGACTGTCATACAAGTGAGAGGTTTAGCAAGCTGTGAGGCCAGGTTTGATCCACCATTTTCTACATGGAGACATGCCTGTGCCAGGTCAAGAGTGTAACGGTGTTTTCCATTCGTTTGATATGAATGAACTTTTGATTTTGCCATTTGTTAAGGGACTTTCCGTTTTTGAATTTTCCTTGGAGTTTTGTATTTTTATTGTTTTACTTTTTACATGTAATTCTTATCTCTCCAAAATATAACCAATATTTGTTGCAACACCGTAGCCTCACTGGTTTATAACACAACTAGTTCTTAGAATTTTTTGTCCCGTTGAAATGATATATAAATGGTATTTTGATAATGTTCAATATTTTCAGGTAAGGATTAGTTTGATTGCTTTTGTCTGTATTTAGATAAAAAACAATTTCATTAACTGCAGATTTAACAATTATATGCACCTTTAATATGCACCTTTAATATTATGTTAGAACACAGAAATCATATCATTGGGGGATTGCAACACTTTAATCAAAACATGGGACCATCAGTTAACAGACAGTCTTCAATTATATAAGGGATTTAATCTGCGGATCATCGAAAATATCAATGTTAATTTCTAGATACGTTTGCATCATGATCAGTTGGTGCTTTACGGTACTTAGTGAATGTATTCGGCGTACGAATGATTTGTTTTTTTGAGAAATATGCTTCCTTTCGAGCCTTGCACGGCAGTACTATATATATGTCAATACCTTTTGCCAAAACAATACTAACCAATATTCATTTTTGTATACAATAGATATTGCCATCGGAGCACCAAATGAGGACGAAGGCGCACGAGCGGTATATATATTTAATGGAAAGTCTGGTAGAATGAATGAAGTCCCTTCCCAACGGATAGCTGCCATTACTTCGTTCAATAGAATAAAATCTTTTGGAACATACATATCTCGACCATTAGATGTTTATAACAACAAATACGCAGGTATGTTTTAGAGTTAAGTTAAAAAAAAAAAGAATTCAGAGGGAAAACCTTTCAGAATCAAATTCGCTAATTTACAATATCACTCTTTTGGAATCTAAAAGAGATATACTAGTAATATCACAATTGAAATAACGTCACGTTGAATTTTCAATGTTTACGACGATGTTATAACTAGCCAATCGCAACGTTTTTGGTCACGGTACGCTTTTGAAATTATTGTCAAGAATGCATTAAATTTTGGGTAATTAGTCGGAAGCACGAGAAGCATGTTAATAAAAAATGTGAACACATGCACAATGGGTTTGTAATGGTATTTTTTTCCCCGTCCAGTAGCATGCAATGCATGAAATTATGAAGATTGTGTCTTTCTACCCATACTGCTTTTTATACGGACATAGAACCTCACATCGTTCAGTTTTGGTAATTAAATGAACATATAAAAACGAAATAAAGAATCGATTGTAATTATGTATATATTGATAAATAATGTTTTTTCTCGAAGTCGGTAGTTTAAACTGTTTTTTCAACCTTCTCCTTGGCTCATGGTCTTGAAGTTTAAGTCACCTTCATAAAATATCTTGAACTCTATCCATATGGAGGACCTTCATAATTGAATCGAACTATGTGAATGAATACTAGTAGGCAATGATAAATCATGCTTTCAGATTTAGCTGTCAGAGCTTTCCAATCCGATATTACCTTTCTATTAAGAACAAGTCCAGTTATCACCATGACATCAAGGCTAACTACAATACCCTTCCTTTTCACGAATGTGACTTACCGAATTAGACTATTTACCGGATTTGTAATAACATAAGCAACGCGACGGGTGCCACATGTGGAGCAGGATCTGCTTACCCTTCCGGAGCACCTGAGATCACCCCATGATTTTGGTGGGGTTCGTGTTGCTTAGTCTTTAGTTTTCTATGTTGTGTCATCTGTACTATTATTTGTCTGTTTGTCTTTTTATTTTTGGCCATGGCGTTGTCAGTTTGTTTTCGATCTATGAGTTTGACTGTCCCTCTGGTATCTTTCGTCCCTCTTTTAATCAACCAATTATACCTCTGACGTCAGCAGGCAGGATTACAGTGCGCCACTCCGTCTAATGACAATCCATGTGTAACACGGATGTTCCTGTTTCAACAAGTAAGCGTTTAATAATAATCTATCAGTAACTGTCAGTTACTTATAACGGATATAATGTACAAGGTTCGGTAAGTCAGTGAGTATAATCCTCCATCAGTAACCGTAAATGCGTGTTAGTTATACCGGAACTGACAAACCAGCTGTGTTTAGGTTCATCATGACAAACGGACAAAAATAGCTGTTTTTCACCTGATTAAAAATAATACGATTAGTACACACAAACCTGTGCAGATGGTAAAGTATCAAGGCCTAGCATCCACTAGATATATAAAAGC